ATTTCCACAACCACAACCATCCCCATTCCCACATCCACACCATCCCCCATTCCCACATCCACAACCATCCCCATTCCCACATCCACAACCATCCCCATTCCCACATCCCACAACCATTCCCATTCCCACATCCACAACCATTCCTATTCCTACCTGTTATGGGTGAAACACATGGATGCTCGATGAATGAGCACTGTGTTCCCTCTGCAACTCCCACAACATCTAGCACAGTGCTGGGAAATAGCTATTCATTAGAATCTGAACTGAATCAGGTCCTAACTTTAATATCAGAGTTCTGGAGTTACCACAGGCATTCAACGGTCGACACCTATGCCGCGTCAGGGGCTGACTATGTCCTGATGAAAAACACAGCTTCCCTGGGGCTGGCAGGCTTGAGACGGGCAACGAGCAAGTGAACTAACGTGTGCACAGTGTGGGAAAACCACAGGAGAACAAAACCCGGGCTTGGCATAGAGACCAACAGAGCAGGTCTTCTTTAGAGAAAGGTCAGGGGGGGCCTCTCTGAGCAGGTCATATTTCAGGTGAGATCAGAAGTTTGTGAAGAAGCCAGTCAAACACAGAGCGTGGGAAGGGGCGTTTTTTGTAGAAGGACTGGAATGTGAAAGTCCTCAGGGGGGAACGAGCCCCAAGGACTGAAGAGACGTGTAGCTGGAGTAGACTGAACTCTGCATGGCATGGCTCAGTGGTGGGCAGGGAGAGGCGGGCATAGGGCAGACCTTAGAAGGCCTTACAGATTTCGTTAGATATTGGAATTTCTTCTTAGTGAGACTGGGAGATATTGAAGGGTTTTTAGCAAGAGAGCTAAATTAGACCACTGAGGTTTTAAAGAGCTCACTCTAGCTGCTCTATGGAGAACGGAGTGGAGGGGCAGGGATTGACCGGCAGAAAATAGGCACAGGCAGAAACCTACGAGAGAGATGAGAGTGGCTGGGACCATGGTGGTAGGGAAGGAGGGAAGTGGGTGGACCTGGGATATATTCCGGGGGTCCAGTTTTCTACGATACCAGGTGATGTGTCTATGTGGGGTAAGAGGAGTCTAGACTGACTCTTATGCATCTGGTAGGAACATCCTGGGGTGATGGTACTCTTTCTGAGGTCATGATTATTAGAGAGAATCATGTTCTTGGAGTGTGATTGGGGGAGCGGGGTCGGGACTCTGTTCCTTTGGGCACTCTGCCCTAGCTATCCTAGTACAGCTGCACGAAGGGGTCCTGAGTTTCTGTGGGTGGTGGGTGAGACACATTTCTGCCAGCACCCTTCTCCCACAAACTTCTTGGGCCTGACAGAGAAAGAGGAAAGTATGTCTAGTGGCTGTTTGTCTCAGGCAATGTCCCTCCTTCCTCATTAAAAAAAATGCCAGTCAAATCCATGGGGTCTTCTAATAACTGTAGAAGAAAGATAAAGTTTGTGCCTACACAGTTTAGCATTAGATAAAGAGCATAGGTTTGGAGGTCAACCTGAGTTTAAATCCTATCTCCACTAGTTACTAGTTAAATTGCCTTAAGCAGGTTAATGACCTTGTTGAGACCTTTAACTCATCTGTAAAATGGGGACAACATCCCTTCTGGTTATGGTGAAGAATACGTCAAATGGTGTACATAGAGACTTAGCATATTGTCTCACCTGTATTAAACAGTTGTAAGAGAGATATTATTTGGGGGATATTAAGTTGATGGTTTTCATTCCTGGTCAGCCCCATCTGGAGGACTTATGCCATAAAATAGGTTCTATAGCATAGAAGGAAACCCCTTATGCCATTAGACATAACTGTGAGGCTTAGACCCTGGGAATAAGAAGATTGTGACACAAGTGAGGTCCTTGCCAGAGAGGACAAGGCATGGAAAGACTGCTACTTTGGGCCCGAGTGGATCCTGGGAAGGAGATGGGGAGACAGAAGGTGTAGTTGTCAGAAGCACACATCT